AAAAAGTTTGATTCTTTCATAGTGAATCAAGGATACAAAAGGTCAGATGCAAATCCTTGTGTATAGTCTAGAAATTCCCTGATGGTAAATTTATCATCCTTCTCTTATATATTGATGATATGTTAATCGTTGGACCAGATGCACATATGATTAGCAGGTTAAAATGTCAAAAGCATTTGACATGAAGGATTTGGGATCGGCAAGGCGAATTCTCGGAATGGAGATTATTCGAGACAGAAAGTCTTGCAGGTTATGGTTATCGTAGAAAAAATATATTGAACGGGTTCTAGAGAGGTTCAATATGAAAAATGCTAAACCAGTTAGCACTCCGCTTGCCGCTCACTTAAAGTTGAGTAAGAAATCCTACCCATCAACAGAGAAAGAAAAAGGAGATATGTTAAATGTTCCATATTCTTCAGTGGTCGGAAGTTTGATGTACGCAATGGTGTGTACGAGACCAGATATCGCTCATGCAGTTGGCATTAGAGCTAGATAATTACGAGACTAGATATCGCTCATGCAGTTGGCGTTGTGAGCTGATTTCTGTCAAATCCCAGAAGGCACATTGGGAAGCAGTAAAGTGGATCTTCAGATACCTGAGAGGAACTTCAAAGTTATGTTTAACTTTTGGAGGTAAAAAGCCTGCACTTGTTGGTTACACAGATGCACATATGGCCGATGATCTTGATGAAAGAAAATCTACATCAGGCAACCTATTTACATTCTCAGGGGGAGCTATTTCATGCCAGTCGAGATTACAAAAATGTGTTTCATTATCAACGATCGAAGCAGAGTACGTTGCAGCCACAGAAGCAGAAAAGGAAATGCTTTGGTTAAAGCGATTCTTTCAAGAATTGGGTGTGCAATATAGTTTATTGTGATAGTCAAAATGTGTTAGACTTGAGCAAAACTTGAGCAAAAATACTACGTATCATGCACGGATGAAGCACATTGATGTAAGATATCATTGGCTTAGATCTGCCATTGAAGAGAAGCAGTTTCAGTTGTGAAAGATTCACACAGACAGAAATGCTACGGATATATTGATAAAGGTCGTTTTGAAGGAAAAGTTTGAACTGTGTGTCAAAGCGGTAGGAATGGAGAGTCCCACCATGTAGTTGGGAGAGGAAGAATTGTTGTGGTCCCTCTGACATATGGGACACACACAAGTTTGAAGGAAAAAAAAACACGTTTTGTTTTAAAAGTTAAAGAAGGCTGCACCAACAAAAAGAAGATTGATGCATTAATTGCGCAGGTGCATTGATTAACGCATCCACTTCTCCTATAAATAGGAGAAGGTTTTCCCTCAACAAATCGTACAAAACAAAACGAAGAAGTTTACACAGTTAAGTGTAGAGAAAATTTTAGGAAAGGGTTCCTAAAATTGAAAAAGAGAGAAAATAGTGAGGATTATAATTTTTTGGTGTTTTTGGGAAATACTATAAGGAGAGTTGCACTATTTTGGTAAATCTCTTTCTGTACCTACTATTTTATAGTGGAAGAATTTATTCGGAGGTTTGTCCTGTGGGACATAGCACCTACTATTTTATAGTGGAAGAATTATTCGGAGTTTGTCCTGTGGACATAGCCCATAACACTTGAAGGGTGAACCATGTAAATCTCGGTGTCCCTATTTTTCATCTGGCATTTATGGCATTTTTCCACGGGCCCCACTCGGGATCAGTTATAATCCCAACACTATTAGGCTCCATTGATCGAAGATACATATCAGTAAAATAAGATCCAAATTCTCAAACCAAATAAAATCAAATATCATACATTTTAAAAACAATTCTTCACAAAAAAGAAACTAAACCCTCAAGGAAAAAGAGATAAAAGAATTCCAAATATGGAGACAAGGCAACAATAACAAAAAAAATAAAGAAAAAACATATCTATTAAAACAAAATAGATCTGAGTTTATTAAAAATGAATAAAAAATTAGGAGCAAGAAGAAAAAAGAAAAGCAGGGAGCTACTACTAATTATCAACGGCAGCCCAAACAAAAGTTAGGGATTGATAAACCAAAGAGAAAAGAGGAAGAAGTTAAACATGCCTCCCTGTATATTAAACTTATTTCCTTTTGTTTCCACATTTGCATCTTAATTTCAAGACTGCTTTTTTCCAATATTAAATAAATTTTTGGTTTTAAAATTTTTCAATGCTTTCTTTCTTTCTTTTTCTTTTCCTTTTCCTTTTTCTTTTCTTTTTCTTTTTTTGATGCCAACTCTTCCATTCTCGCATAAGAAGAAAGAAAGAAAAAAAGATAGATAGATAGATAGCTGTTTTTTATCTTCTAAATTCAGTAATAGGGTAATTTACTTCCATGTCAAGTAAATTGATGCTTTTAACTTTATGAAAAGAGAAACCAATAAATAATAAGATAATACAAATGATATTTGATTAATATATTTGGCATTGCAAGATCAACAAACATACATGTATAAACTTACGAATTGTGGTTAGTTGGCAATGTATGTTGTGCATACTTTCGGGATAGATCCTCACTAAACGCATCTACAGAGAGGGACGAACAGCTTTGACTGTGACTAAATTTCGAGCTGGATTAGAAGGTCTCTGCTAATGGGTTTGGACATTGGTGATTTAAAGAAAAAAAAAAACTTACGTGTATAAATCAGTTACTTGTTAACTATTTGGATTTGATTTACAAAAAATATTTAGTTAAATTCAAATTTGAGTACTTCAAATAATGAATTGAGACGAATTTTAATATTGAACGATTTGAATGAAATTAAGTTGGAACGTTTTAACACTTTCAAAAAGAAAATTCGGATATTTCAAATATTTAATCAAATAGTGTTACATACAAAATTTGATTGAAATCAAATTAAGATAAAAAATTAATTAGTTATTATAATTGAGTTGAAGTCAATTAAACTTGGGCTTGGGCTTGTTATAGCACTATCACATTCCACTTGTTTGATTTATAACGCATTAGATTCCCCCAATCAATTGACAAATAGTGAACATCATAATCGTGGATACACCATTATCTTTGGTATGAGTGTCAACATCCAACACTTTTCTCCCCATACATAACCATGATGGCACTATTTTATTAAGTGAAAAAATATACCTAGACCCGGTTTATGGCCTTACTCATAGATCAAACCAATAAAATTAAAGATCCTTTAAAAAGTGTTACGATTTTATCTTTTATTTTCCAAGTGTATGGTTAGAAAAATCTTTATTTCAACAAGAATCATTGATTTAATTGGTTTGCTCTATAAGTGGGGTCATGTTACGTACTTTACACATTAATAATAATAATAATAATAATACAATGCCCTTAAGAGTACTTATTAAAAAAGCATTCATTCATAGAAAACAATAGAAAATAATCATAATTATATTTCATGTTTTAAGAACTGCATTTCCTTTCGAAAAAAAGAACTGTATTTAGATATAATTAATATTACCCACAAGTTATAGCTCAAAATTTTTTTATATTTAATTTAATTTATATTAATTTTTTTAATGGGTAACCATGTAAAACTTGTTTTTAAAAAAAAAATCCTTAAAGGGAGTGTTTGATTATTGAAATTTGATATTTTCATGAAAATTATTTTCAGTGATAATAGATTTATAATAAAATAATTTAGGAATATCATTTTTTTTTTTGAGAATAGGAATATCAAATTATTGTGTTTATTTCTAGATATAATTTTTCTATGAGTATATGATAATTGTGTTTAATTAATTTATGAATAATAGGTAAACTTCAATATCACCTTTTATTATATATGTTTTGTTGATACTTTTTGAGATTTTATCATACAAATATAAGCATTAAATTTTAAAAAAATATTTTCTGATTACAAGAAATAAAAATATGATTTTAAAACTAATAACAACTATAATATAATATAATAATGATTATAATGAATTAAGAACAACCAAAAGTTTAAAATAATTTTCATCATAATTACATAATTATTTATTTTTATAATAAAAAAATAATATTATCCTTAATTTTCATTTGCAAGGAGTACAATTTTGACAAATCTTTAGATGATAAATTATTATTTTTTTATTGGTCAAGTAGGAAATACGCACTGTGCACACACAGAATAAGAACATAACACACTTTTTCGCAAAACCAGAAAAACTATATTTTTATCTATATCTATACATCAAGAAATCTAACTTTCCCAAAAGTATAATATTGATGTATCAATTAAACTCCCAAAATTTTACATTCTTAACTCAATTTTTTTTACCTAATTTCAGGCACCAAACATTTATTCAATAATAATAATAATAATAATAGAGTACAATTTTGACAAAAGGTCTTAAGATGATAAAATTATTATTTTTTATTGGTTCAAGTAGGAAATACGCCACTGCACACACAGAATTAAGAACATAAAACACCACTTTTTCGCAAAACCAGAGAAAAACTTATATTTTTATCTATATCTATACATCAAAGAAATCTAACTTTTCCCAGGAAAGCTTATAATATTGATTATGTAGTTTTCAATTAAAAATTTCCCCAAATTTTACATTCTTAACTCAATTTTTTTTACCTAATTTCATAGCAGCGAAACATATATATTCAAATAATAAGTAATATAATAATAATAACTGATTATTATTATTATTATTATTTATTATTCTTATTAACATTATAAGTTCACATTCACATCCGGACACCCACGAAACCAAATTTGAAAGTGGTCCATTACCCCAATTCAAGACGTTTTATTATTATTATTATTATTATTAAAAATTATAAGTTCACATTCACATCCGACACCACGAACAATTGAAGTGGTCCCATACCCCAATCAGACGTTTAAGATGACGTCATCACGCTTACGTCACCACACTTGTCCTAAGTTTGCCACGTGGCACCACTGAGGCAGCTTCGACGCATCACTCCAGGAAAGTGTCTATGAAAGAGCAGCAAAAAAGAAAGATAACGTTTTCAAGATTATTACCTGATATTCATTAATATTAATTTATTTAATTCCTCTACATAATCCCAATATATTTATTTATAAAATGGAACAAAGCCTACCATCACGCCATTGCTTCTACTAGATGTCCAACTCCAGCTTTATAACGATGGACTATCCTCCTCCTGCAAACCCTAATTCTACCAATTACCATCACTTCGACCCCAACATGGATCCGTTTCTAACCGAGTTTCAGCTATCGGATTATCTCGTGCTTGATGGCGATGGTTTTGATGGGTTTGGAGAGGATTCAACCACGTCCTCTCAAAGTATTCTATCATCGGATCAGGTCTTCAGTGGCGGCTCCACCGGATGTTGTGATGGCGGTGGTGGTGCAACGTCCAGAAGTTGTAATAGCGTGTAAGAGATAATTGATTTCTTGATAGTTAAAAGAGATAATCTTTTAAATTTGTCCATTCATATTAATGGGTTTTTGTATGTATATATGTACAGTAAATGCAAAAAGAGTTTCAAGAAGGAGAAGGCTCAAGTGGGACATAGAGTTGCATTTAGAACCAAATCGGAGTTAGAAGTTATGGATGATGGGTTTAAATGGAGAAAATATGGGAAGAAGTCAGTCAAGAACAGCCCAAATCCAAGGTAACCATTCAGATGTTAATTTCTTCTTTTATTTGTTTGTTTTTGGTATATTTATATAATATATTCAAGAAAATGGTTACTTTACTAGTACTTCGTTTTACTTTAAAACATGAAATGATTATTAGAAGAAATTAGGTAATTATAAATTATTTTGGTTTGATAAGATCTTTTTTTAATTGGGTTAACATTATTATAGTGATTATATGCTAAAAACCATTATTATAGTGATTACTATTTGGACAATCAATAGGACTTAGAAAAACTTGAACAAGAAATGATAATTCATGTTTCATATTTTTTTTCCTTTTCGATAAATTTAACATTTAAAATTGTTTTACATCTATTATTAGTATTTGGACAATTAATATGGTCTGGAAAAACTTAGAAAAAGAAATGATAATTATATTTCATATAATTTTCCTTTTTGCTAAATTTAATAATGAACCGAACGTGTTTAAATTCATAATCTCCGAGAACAATTCTAAAATAATATTAAATCAGAACTCACTAGCATTTCAGTTCCTATAATCAAATACTGGATATCTGACTTATAAGTCTATTATACCACACTAGATAGCTAAAGCTAACAGTAACGTATATGACTAAATTATTGAAAACACATGTTAAACAATATATATGAGATATTCTTCAACCATACATATAATAGATAGGTGATAGATGGTCTTGGATTTAGATAGGCATTTAGATATCATAATATCACATCATTAAAATTATATTATATGTATATATATATATATATAGCAATAATCTAAAGTATAAATTGCCTTTTCACTTGTATTGGTTTCTATCATAACCATCAGAAATAGTGGTTTGTAAGTAGGTGAGAGATTTAGGTTGCGTTCAGCAATAGCTTTTTAGGTAAATGCTAAACTTATTTTTTATAATGTTTGGTAACATAGCATTTGAATTAATTTTTAGAAGTTAAGGTAGCGTTTTATAAAAAGTTAATTCATATAACATTTAACTTTTAGCATTTGTGAAAACTACTCAAACAGCTAACAGCTAATCGTTATTCAAATCTAAACAGTTAATTTTGCCAAATATGCCTCTGTACTTACATAGAGATGAGATAGGGAGAGGTGTGGTGTGGCTCGTGAAGATGATTGAAGCAAAATGCTCACATCAAACCAATATTAAAACAAAAGAAAGAAATGGGAAAATGGGGTCAAGCCCATGGTGTTGTTTAGCCAACAAATTACAATTGTAGCAATGAAAAATGGGACCCAAAGGCATCTTTTAGGATCACATTCAATTAAACCACACACATACATACATAAAGTGGCGGCTTCCACTTCTATTCACTCCGCTATACACTCTCATCAGCAGCATGAGATAAGCTCTCTGTCATTATGTACATGTACTAATCCTTTCTTGATAAGGAGAGAGCAAGAGGAGAAGTTTTTATAATATGTACGTGTCTTATTAGTAAATTTTATCAGGTAGATACTTTGGTAAAATTCTTTCAACAATATTACATGATAAAATTTTATGCAGATACTTTGGTAAAATCCTTTCAACAATAATGATTTAGGTTTTAAACTCTGATCTTATAAGTAAATTTCGTCTAAAAATATAATTCATTTTTACTAATCCAATTATCTACTGATTACTAGTTTTAAGATTCTAAGTCATATTGATAGTAATGTATTGGAAAATTCAAATCCTAATTTAGGAATCACTTACTTTTTTATGAGCTCTAACAAAATAAGGTCAAGTTTATTTGTTGTATATAGTTTGAAATAAGTATAATAAATTTTTTTTTTTTTTTTTGAAAGGGGAAAAAATACAATAATTGTTATAGTTATATAATCATACCAATGTGGTCCAAAGCTAGCTATGTGGGCAAGTTGGATGATAATAACCAAGCTAGCATGCTATAACTGCACAAAACTATGGGTTTGTTAAGCAAGTGGATGCTAATAATGGCAGAACAAATATATATCTTAAGCAACTTGACAAGTCCAGCCACCTTGACATATTCTGCATGTACAGACCTCTTTGTACAAAAATTAAATATAAATTTTAACTAACACTTGACGACAATGTCTCGTTCTAATAGAATTAGCAAGACTGACATGGTACACATAATCTGTGAAAGACTTTCTCATCTCATATATTATAATGGCTGTCTCTCTATAAGTGCTTTTCTATGGATTGAATCCCTGGTTTTTCTCATGTTTTTTATTTCTTTTGTTTTTGTATTTTAAAGATTTGGAAATTTTAAACTTATTTTGTAGGAATTATTATAAGTGCTCAAGCGGAGGATGCAATGTAAAGAAAAGAGTGGAAAGAGACAGAGAAGACTCAAGATATGTGATAACAACCTATGATGGTATCCACAACCATGAAAGCCCTTGTATGGTGTACTATAACCAAATGCCTCTCTTGGTCCCTAATGCTTGGACTTCACAAGCTTCTTCTCCCCATTCTTCTTCCTCGTCGTAGGATGGCCCTAATATTATTATTATTACTACTTTTTTTTTTTTTTTTTTTGAGCATTTCTTCATGGTTTTTTATCATATTCTTTTGTTTTTGTATTTTTAAAATATGATTTGGATTAATTTTTAAACTTGTCATTTTGTAAAGGAATTATTATAAGTGCTCAAGCGGAGGATGGCAATGTTTAAAGAAGAGAGTTGGAAAGACGAACAGAGAAGAACTCTAGTTATATGTTAGATAACACACCTTATTAGATATGGTAATCCAACAACCATGAAAAGCCCTGGTGTAAGGATTTTGTACTATACCCACCAAATGGCCTCTCTTGGTCCCTATATTGCTTGTGATATCTTTTCACATTTAGCCCTAATCTGTCTCCCCATTCTTCTTCCTCGTCGTAGGAATGGCAACCTAATATTAATTATATAATTACTACTTTTAATTTTTTCTCCTCCTCTCTGAGAGCATTTGTGCGTTTTTTTTTTTTTTTTTTCTGAGCATTTGGGTTTGTTATGGGTCGAGAAATGCATTAAAACTAGGTTAGGCCAGAAATCACCATTAGATCTTAGCTAATTAGTTCATCACGAATTAGTTATTATCAACTTTGCTCAGTTAATGTACGCAAAAAATGCGACTTGTGTAATGGTATATTGGAATAGTAGTACTATTATGTCCCCATTGGCTGGCCCACTTTTGGGGTTCACAATGGGCTGGGCCTGTAGTGCTTCAGTCATTACAATTAAAAGTACAGGGCCCAATCGCTTCTCACAGAAGAAAATGTTTATGTGAAAATAAAGTTGGATCAATGTTTATATATGGACTTGAAGGATTGATAATTTTGCTTTATGTATATGAATGAACTTTAGAAACTTGGCCCTTCTCTTTTTTTCATCTTTAAGGGAATAGAAACTTAGCCTTCTTTCGTGTATAAGAAAGAAAAATTAAGTTTTCCTTTGTTATTACAATTGAAGTTGCTATCCATGTGTTCGTTGGATGGAATGATTGAGATTTTTCTTTAATTAAAATTTTCGAATTCAAATATTAGTTATGAAAATTGTTACATGAGCAAAGCACCTCATGTACGAACTCTGCAGTATTATCGTAGCAATAGATTGATATAAAAGTATGTATTCTCAAGAAATCACGATACAAAACTTAATGTTGATGTACGTAAATTTTTAAGTTAAAAAATATTGTTATCTAAAATTATTTTTGATAGTTGAAATTAGCCCCAAATTACTTTTGGAATGTTTTATGTTAGAAAAATGTCTAATTAATTTTCAAAAGTGAGATAAAATACGAATCCCGTCTTTTTTAATCAAATGTCTTAAATTTATGAAATTACCTGATTGGTTATCCGATGCGAATCGTGATCTTAAACGGGTAAAACTATATAAAAAAAAAAAAGTCTAATTTAATTTATTTTTCGAGCGCGTGATGACCCTTCCAAAATCCGGAACTTTTTCCCATTTCTATGATTTATGACGCTCCCACCATTTCATTAGGTAATCGGGTAGTTGACACCATGCGTTAAGGAGCCGACCATAACTCAGAATAACCGATCCAAAATCCAATCCATTTTGCGCACCGTTTAACTTGCTTCCCCATTTTCTGTTCTTAGATCGCTCCTTTTCTAAACCCCATTGATCAAAATTAGTTGAAGCTTGAAGACACTCTTTCAATTTAGAGTTTTAGATCTCTTCTTCTTTCTATGCTGAACCCTGGAACGAATTTCAAGAGAAACCCACTTCTTATTCTTCTGTTCTTAATGAAAACTCGTCTCGAGATATGTCGCTAGATCTGCTACTGTAATTTGGGCATTTTAACAGGACTATATTCGTTTTCGTTAGAGCATAATCAGTTCTGGGTTCTTCAATATGAGCTTAGATCTTTGCTCGATTCTAATATAATATGGATGTTGGATTAAATTGCGTAACACCCTTTTGGATAAATTGTTGTTTTATTTTGAGATTGTATGTGTTGATGGGACCTGATTGGTATACAAGTGAGGGACTGTTTTCTGTACTGGTTACTGGGTTATATTAAGAGTTGGGTTTTGGTTACTAGATCAAAAGAGAGAAAAATATGTTTTGGAGGGATCGTGAGAGGGAACACAAGGAACAGAACGGTGGACCACCTTGTGGACAGGTTCGAGTTCTCGTTGTTGGCGATTCAGGTAACTTTTGGTTTCTTCTTGTTGTTCTTTCCTTGTTTAGCATGATTTTGGCGATTCCTTTTAGTTTCTGTTTGTATGCCATTTCTTTTTGTTTCTAAACTAGAGCAAGGAATGGAAATGGAAGTGGAATAAATTATGTAACCGTTTCTTGTGTAAGAGGGAGCTATGGAAAGTCGGGTTAGTAGGTTTCTGTGGATTTTGAAGATTATCTGAAACAAGCAGCAAACATGCTTTCTATACTTTCTAAAACCTTCCTTTACCTCTCAAACCGGTGCTTCTCATACATAGTGTTACAAAAAGATGTAACCTGGATGCTAGAACACAAATTATATACCATACTGGACACGTTAATGTTTATTGGGCTTTAGATTAATCATCTATTAAATCAAATGTAGTAGAGGATTTGTGATATCATTAATTGGATCTAAGATCTGAAGAGGTTAAAGGACGGTATTGGTTATGTCATGGAATCAGAGCAAAGTTCAGTCATTCGCACTTCAACAATTTGTTATGCCTTCATTTACTACATGAGTTGACCTTATTAAAATATCTCAACGTGAAATGTGGAATGAAAATCTGTCACTTCTACATGTTAATACAAATAATGTTAATTCCTAATTTCATGCACTATGTCTGATGCTCATGGTTGATTACATAATGCCATTTCTCCTCTCTTTTTTGACCTTGTATTCGTCTTATGTACCTGATATCAAACTTCATTTTCTAATCTTAATCTTTCTTAGGTGTTGGGAAAACATCTCTTGTGCATCTAATAGTCAAAGGTTCTTCCATTGCTCGCCCTCCTCAGACAATTGGATGTACAGTTGGTGTGAAGGTAAATTCCAAATGTCTTGGTTACTTGATGGTAGCAGAAGAGCATTTTTAGGAGTTCAAGTCTTCACTAAGTTCTTACTATTATTCCCATCCAGCATGTTACTTATGGTAATTCTGGTAGCTCTTCAAGCAGCCTTAAAGGTGATGCAGAGAGAGATTTCTTCGTCGAACTATGGGATGTTTCAGGGCATGACAGATATAAAGATTGCCGGTCTCTGTTTTACTCTCAGATTAATGGTCAGTACCAAATTTGGTCTGCAATATAACAAGATGTGTATCAAAAACTTGCTCTAATCATTTAATGGATTCACCTTTACTACTTGCATCACTTCCATATGGGAGTTTTTAATGAGAAATGAGGTTTAGATTCATGGTATTCTTATGCTTGGATTTGGAACATGTAAAAGTTTAGGTTTAGATTCATGGTATTTTTTTTATTTATTTTATGTAAATAGATGCTATCTGGACAACTTTGTATTGAAAGACAATCCTAGGTGACTTGTTTAAGAAACTAAGAAATAGAAAAATTTGTTGGGCCTAAGTTGCAAAAAAGATGCAACGCGGTCGCCTGAGTAAGGTCGAATGCCTGAGTACTATTGAGGTGCAAGCCCTTGAGCCTTAATTTAGGTGCGCCTTTAATAACTATGCTTTCCACTTACATGAAGTTTGACTGATTTAATATTTCCATTACAGTTGGTTGAGTGTTGGAATGGGTAGTTATTTTCCATTATGCTGTTTGTAGTGTAAGTAACCATGACCATTCTTTTTTTTTTTTTTTTTTTTTACATGAAGTATTTGGAACTGATTTAATATTTCCCATTAACCAGTTGGTTGGAGTGTTGGAATGTGGTAGTTAATTTTCCATTATTGCTGCTTTTTGTGTTGTAAGTAACCATGACCCATTCTTTTTTCTTTTTTTTTTTTTTTTTAACTGATATTATTATGACATCTTTACTATCGGTCAAAATGGCACAATGGAGCTGCTAACTTGAACTTGTAATTTTTTAATTTTTTTTCCCCAAACTATAGTTTTCCAAAAGAAATATTTGACACCTGTGTCCCTCTTGGAAGATATCTTTTTTTTTTTTTTTTTTTTTAACTGATATTATTATGACATTTACTATCGTCAAAATGGCACATGGAGCTTGCTAACTTGAACTGTAATTTTTTATTTCCCCAAACTTAGTTTTCCAAAAGAAATATTGACACCTGTGTCCCTCTTGGAAGATATACCATCTATGACAATCACTTATGATTCTGTCTTAAACTTTGTCAGGTGTCATTTTTGTGCATGACCTCTCCCAGAGGAGGACCAAAACAAGCTTGCAGAAATGGGCATCTGAGATTGCTGCAACTGGGACATTCTCAGCTCCTCTTGGTTCTGGTGGTCCAGGTGGTCTTCCTGTCCCTTTTATTGTTATTGGGAACAAAGCAGATATTGCTGCAAAAGAAGGTACAAAAGGAAGCAGTGGCAATCTTGTTGATGTGGCTCGTCAGTGGGTTGAAAAGCAGGGTTTACTTCCCTCCAGCGAAGAGCTTCCGTTGACTGAGAGTTTTCCTGGAAATGGTGGCCTTATTGCTGTGAGCATTTCAATTTAAAGCTTTCACTTGCTTTGCTGTGCTTTGATTTTATTTAGATGATATTGATTGGTATCTATTTTGTGTTTTTGTGCACCTAAGCGATATATAAGGCGTCATGAAATTTCTCATATTGAATTTTGTATCTCATTTTTCAATTTTCATTCTGCTCAGTTCAGGTTTACATCAATGTAAAGGCCTAGAACTGCTATATCCTATTCTACTACTTGAATGTCATCTTTGTTTGTCTAACCCCCATTTTCTTATCCATCACAAATTTAAATATGCTCTATATTCCTTATGATATGCATGTCTAGAGTACATAATAATATTTGTATACACTGAAGTATAAATTTCTTGCTCTCTAACTCTTTAAAAGATGATAATATTATACTTTGACTGTATACATATCAATACGCTGTTAAGCTACTGTTAGCTTGGGATAACCCTAAATAGAGTAAAAGATGCAGATGCATGGGCGACAACTAGAGTCATGTGGATTGTTTATTGTTTATGTACTTTTTTTTTTCCCTAAGAGTCCGTTTGTTTTTGGAAAATAACTCGTCTTTAGAAAATATTTTTCAAAACAAAATGTTTTCCTTGAAAAATATTTTCCAATAACTTATTTCTGTAGTTTAGTTGCAATGTTGAAAATTAGTTAAAAAATATTAAATAACTTATAAAACCATAAAAACATATATATAATTATAGAAATTTCGTATTTTAAAATTTTATTATTGAATTATTGAATATAAGAAAGATGCAAAAAAAAGAAGATAAATGTGACAGCCGCCGGTGTCCGGTGGTGGTGGTTGGTGGTGACTGGGAACATGGTAGTGACTACTGGTAATTAATAAATTAAAAGATCTGTATATATAAGGTTATAATAAGTTTGTCAATATCTGAAAAATATTTACTCTCACAAAAATGGGAAGTTATTTTCTTTAAAAATAATTTAGTTTTCTTTTGCCCAATAAAATATTTTTCATTGATTGATTTTCCTGATATTCCAAACATCGGGAAATCTGAAAAATGTTTTCTAGACAAGTTATTTTCTGAAAGCAAATAGAGCCTAAATCTCAATTCCGGTAAGGTGGTAAGGGTGACATCAAATTTTGAGGGGTTTTTTCTGTCACTATTCATGTATATTTGTGATTTGGTCACGGGCGTTCCATATTTGTAATTCGGCTTCTAGATTCCGATTGCTTGAATCTTACAATTTGAAAAGAGAATTATATTATTCTAACAACGATTTTCTTCCTCCTTTTATTTCTAATTCTTCTATCATATGATAACACCTTTTGTGATGAATCTGAGTCCAGTTTGTGGGAACCTCTTATTTGGTCTATTAATAGCAAATGTACTTTTGATTGACTAGTCAAACACTTGATATGAATCAGAGCAGTTGTGTCTAGGATAGTGTTGTATCTGGTTGACAATATCTGAAGCAATAGCTACCATTGCATAGTGAATGAGGAAATTTAATAGTTGTAGTGATCGTTTGTAAGCAAATTGAATTGCAGTGAACCTATCCCATATTATGTATGAACTGGCATAATGATCTATTTGTTTATTATGTGCAGGCTGCAAAAGAAGCAAGGTTCGACAAGGAAGCTGTGATAAAGTTTTTCCGTATGGTATGTGCATCTGGTATGTTAGTGCTTTTGGAATCCCTTTTCTATTGATTATTTTCAACTTTGATGGACCACTGTGTTTCAGTTGATCAGGAGAAGATATTTTTCAGATGAGTTGACTGCATCTAGTCCATGGTCTGTTTCCCCAGTTCAAAGACCTGCGCAACGTTTGGATGAGACTTCAAGTGATGACGATCAGTTTTACAAGAATAAACGGTATTTTCTGCAGAACATCTACCTTTTTACTGTGTTGTGCTAATGTTTCCACCTTAGATTTGTAGTTATATTTCATTCATTGGTTATATTTGAATCCTGGTATTATGAGATCATGTGTTTTCAGAAAAATAGTTTCTGTAAAACTGGTTAAAGTACAGGATTCAAACAAAGATCCTTTTTATTTTCAATTTTCTTGTTCTCAAACTTTAAAGACATTAGAAATCTTTTGTTTATGCAGTTTAACCACTGATCCATACAAGTATAACGTGCTTCCGCCCCTGCCGGCTCAGCGCAATCTCACGCCACCTCCCACACTTTATCCTCAGCAGCCAGTTTCAGTGACCGAGAATTACAGCTTCCCAAGATTTCCCCTCGCAGATTCTCGTGAAATAAACAGCACTGCTAGATCGAAGCGAATGGATATTAATGTCTGATGATCTCTGCCTCAGGGTTTGCTACTGCATTGGATGATCATCGTTCGTCTCAGAAAAAATCTTTCATTCAATTTCTGAGTTTTTTCCATTATATTTTGTTTGTAAACTGATCCACCGATTCTTTATATCTGAGGCTGTTAGAGGATTCGGGTTAGAGCTTGTCACACTACATACATGTATATTGATTTCCAACCAGCATTGCTAACAATATTCTTAGTGGCATTGGAACACTTTTCATATATTATATAAATATACTGATTATTGTTGAAAAATACAAGTTTTGATTTGTTTTGTGGTGAAAGAAATAAACAAAGATTTGCAGATTTTCCCATATTATATAAATATACTATTTTTTTGAAGCTTACATTTTCTTAGAAAAGAAAAATACTTATATTGTGTCTCCTTTATTATTAGCACCAATTATAATGATACTTATTTAGAATTTTATTTTAGTCATTAAGTCTAAACATATTATTACTTTTTGGAATATTAAAATGTAATTTAATTTTAGGCTTTTACTATAATAAAGATTTGAAAAATTTTGTATCAATAGAGAAACTATAATTTTATTCCATTTGGCATCTAACATACTATTAGTCATGGCTACCGGTTTATTTTGAATCGGAACCGAACTGTATTGTAGATGAGCCGAAATCGGATCGGAACTGTCGGTCAAAGTTTTGAACCGGCTCGGAATTTTTTTATTTTTATTTTCAAAATGATAATCACATAATCTATTCTATATACCTCTAAAAATCTCAATAATATTTTACTACATGATATATTTTAATTAAAATTTTTTTTTAAATACACTTTATTTTGAAAAGTTAAACATCTAAAAGGTAAAATGGTTAAAAAAGAGAAAATTATAATTGTATTCCTCTATTTTGTTGAAAAAAATACTTCACCCTTATCGTTTTAAAAAAACGCTGTCATACCCTTACATGTTGAGTTCGTTATACTACATTGCCCTTCTGTCTATTTTTTGCAAATTTAGAGTGTAAGTCAAAGAAAAATCTAATAATTCAAAGAGAGAGAAAAATTATCACCAAAATACCTTATTCCTCTTCCTCTTCCTCTCTTTCTCTCTCATCAAACAAATCTGCAGCTCTTCCTCTTTCTCTCCCTCTTTCTCTTTCATAAAATAAATTTGCAGCTTGTCCGTAGTTTCAAGACACAACAACTCCTAGTGTCGTACCATTTAGAAAACTCATCTTATGAAAATTTCTGAAAAATATTCAAAATGGATAAATGAAAAACTGATATGTTAATTAATAATAAGAATCTGAAAATTTTTTTTATCAACTGGCCATTCCAGATGATCAATCGTTTTATATCTTTTCTCACAAATTCAATTCAAAATCAAATTAACATGAGTTCATAATAAATTATTATACCAAAAGCCCAATATATTATTTTTATATTTTTATTTGGAAGATTAGAGATTGCTTGAGGAAGAGAAAAGAAGATAAATATGATAAATGGATAGAATTAGGCTCAATTGTGTCATTTCATGTGCATTTAACGTCTAAAATCACAAAAACCTAACGGAAGGGCAATTTAATTTAACGGACTCAAAATGTAAGGGTATAATAATCTATTTTTAAAAAAACAAGGGTAAAGTAGTTTTTTAAACAAAATACAGGGGTACGATTATAATTTTCCCTATTAAAAAAAGAGAAATATTTAGTCTAAACTTTTAATTATTTTTAACTCTTTTTTTTTTTGCTTTTAAATTGTTTACTAAGTTCAAAATTACATTCGAAAGATTATTGGCTCGTTCTTATTTCATATTTCTTACACTTGTGTTGAGGCATGATCTTAAGCTTGGAGAATTATTTTTAATTTCACATATTAAGGACAATTTGCTAGATTAAATTAGGAGAAGGGAAAATTTTAGTTAAAATTTTTGCTTATTTTTGTTTAGCTTAATATGGTTGGAATAACTGTGAGCAAAATTAAGAATTGTCATAATCTAATAACTTGTGATAAATTTAGTTGTTGTTTAAGTTTAAAATTTAATTTTTAATTTAATATGATTCCTTGATGCGAACATTTATTTTTAAGATACAAGCACCAATTTTTGTAATTATTATGATAGATATATATTTTTTTATCTAAATTAATTTAACATTGGCATTCCGAGAACAAAATAACATGATATCATACAACTTAATAAGAGCCTGGGTTACGTGCCATCCAAGTGATGGAGAGGAATGGAAAATTTTTTATCAATGTCATCATTCTTTACTATTGAGTTGAGAAATGTTAGGCTTAGGCATTTTTTAAAATTTTCTAATAATTTATTTAATTAATAACATTTAGACAAAATAAAGTAATAATTTATTTGATTATTTTATAAAATTTATTAATTTTATTCTTATATGAGTATGAGTATTCTAAAAATTTATTTAAAATAAAATTTACCAATCATTTTTTTAAAATTTTCTAATAATTTATTTACATTAATAACATTTAAGCACAAATACATACGTATCAATTTATTATCTATTTATTAAAAATTTGTTAATTTATCATTCCTCCTACTATCCTGAGTCATGAGATTACTTCTAAAATCTTTATTTTAAAAATAAACACTTTTATTCTTATATGAGTATGAGTATTCTAAAAATTTATTTAAAATAAAATTTACCAATATTTTTTAAACTCATATTAATATTTTTGAAAGAAAAATGTAATATTAGAATCGATTTTTTTTTTAAAAAAAAAAAACTTATATCGCCGAAAACCATGATCGAAACTGTCGGTTCATCGGAACAGCATTGAAACCAGTCGGAACTAGAACCGAATCGAAATCGGCGGTTCAAGAGCCGATTCAGGTTTAACATTTTAAAAATTTTGAACTGCCGGTTCAATGAACCGGGCATGCCTACCTACTATAACAGGTACATATCACTAGTTATATAAGTTTCTTTTTTATTCTTTGCAAATTTCTTTTTTTCTTCTTTTTTTCTTCTTTTAGTAGAAAAAATGTCCTTTTAAATTACTATTAAAAAACTACATATCATTGTTTTTAATGATATATTTTTTCAATTTCATTTAGATAAATATATTTTTTTAAATTGTTAGAAATATTTTTTATAAATTAATTTTTATTTATTTTAATAATTTTAACCACATTCTCGTAGTAAGAAAAGAATTGAACCACATCTACATCTGCTAGCTCTTAAATATATATTACAATATTATAAATCAAATAAAGGAGAATTTCGAAAAAATAATTAAAATGAGATAAAGTAAATGATGTGTAAATTAAAATATTAAATTAAAATATTAAATTTAATAAAGTGACACAATTGCTCTTAAAAAAGTTAATAGCTAATAATGAAGTATTAATATAAATTCATATAGCATAATATATGTGATTTAAATTTTTTATATACAAATAAAAGTAGGCTTTCAAAAAATAAAGTTGATGAAATTAATTTTGGGTTAATAAATAAGTATTTAATAGTAATTAAGCAATTATTTTTGTTTAACTAAATAGGCATTTTTTTTTACCTATAGAGTAGGTAGTTGGTTTTTCTTTTATTCTGGCATCCAATGGCTAAGTTTTAAACAATAAAATCTAATAGCCATTACTTATTCACTATGGATGCAGTGTAGTTTGTCCCTTAATTTTAATAAATCTCAGTATCCATAGTTTATTTTAATTGCTTTACTCATAATAATTAAAATAAGACTTTACCTACTGTACATAGTAATTATTTTGTATTCATACAGAATCCTCATTAATTGACAATTGTATATAGAAACCACCGAAATATGTTGTTTTGTTCTTTATCTATATATTTCCTTAACCTGTTGTTCTGTTCTTTATCTATATATTTCCTAACTAACTTTATCTTTTCTTGATCCATATATGTCTTCTATCCTATAACATATTATATAAAATATTATGATAAATATAAAATTATTTAAAAAAATTAGAATTTAAATTCATGTACATAAAATTTTTCTTTAGTGTTAGTAATTTTTAAAAAAAATAAAATTACTGCTTATCATTTGAATTGTGTATATAAAATATCACATAAGAGCAGTTTTACAAGCATAAAGAATAGGTAAATTATTAAAAACATAAATTTCTTTTAATTAAGAAACTTGTAAAAATATATTAAGTACAAATTCTATATTCCAATTTACGAATTGAAGATTATAAATTCATGATACATGGAACATTTACATTATATAAATTCTAAACGAAACAAATTTTATTCAAAAGCTAGATGAGTATATAAAAAATTGTTTTTAAAAATTGTAAAACATAATTTACTGCAAAAATAAGATCGATCAAGTTGAGACTTAAAGATTAATTAATTTTAAAATAATTATTTTATATATACGAATATATATAATTTCATATTTTCAAAAACTAAATAAATATTTTTAAGACTAAATAAACAATATGGATTATTTTTTTAAAAAAATGTAAATAAATATAAGATAACAATTATGATTAGTTAAACTACAAATTAGAAGTAACGTGTAATTTTGAATATTCCGAAAAGTTTAAAATAAATATTTTTTATCACTAAATATACAATATGGATTATTTTTAAAAATTAATTAGAAGATAACGATTAATTAGTTAAACTACTTACAATTTTATACATTTTAATTTATACAATTTGAATATTAATATAGGGTAGAGATTTATAGTCAAACATTGGAGTTGTAATAATTAATTTTTTAGAGATTTATAAGTCAAACATTGGAGTTGTATAATTTAATTTTTTAATTAAAAATATTATATTAAAAAAAATAATGAGATGTCACGTATATATGATATAAGTTAAATTACATGATACATGATAAATGTTTTAACAATAAGAAATTAAAATTAAATAATTAAATAATTTATTTTGAGTGAATGAATTTAAAGTATTAGACAATTATTTATCTTTGAATTTTATATTTTATAGAATTATAGTTGTGTTGAAAATAGTAACTTTTTTCTTCTCTAAAAAAAAAAATAGTAACTGTTTTTAATTCACACAATTAAATTCTTCATTTTATAACCCATTCTATAGGTAACAAGTCATTTAATCAATTTCAAATCTAAATGTATATGTCTAAATTAGCGTAAATCTAACGGTAAAAAAATTATTTTTATTAATACGCTTGTAGTTTTACCTTAAAAGAAAGCCATTTTTAATTCCATAATATATTGTAATTACAATCTTACCCTTGTGTACTAGAATCTAATGCGTACTAGTTTGTGCCGAGCCGAGACTGAGAGGGACGAAACCCAATTCTCAAAAACAGTCCCATGAGCGAGAATCAGCAGTCAAGCGTGGGTAATTGCTGATGTGCGGCTTGCATTACAGCTGCAGGTAAGAACACTCATCTGTACTTTTATTTTTTGATGAATAAATTTTTTGTTGGAAAATAAAAATGGAATTGAATTTTGATTCCCTATCTCTTTGCTCCGTGAATTTCACGGTCTAAATTGTTGATTTTCGTGTTTTGAAGAATGATTCCGGGCTCTTCATCTTCACCTTCATCTTTACGGTTACTTATCACTTCTTTGTTATTGCCTTTAAAAAGACCCACTTGCTTTGCTTCTGTCTCTAATGCATTACCCGCTTTTTTCTTTTTATTTTTCGTTTTTGTTTTGAAGAGGTATGCAATGGCAAAGATTAATGGGTAATTAAAATTAATGCTTTTCTTTTAAGCTTTTGTGTTTCAAGGCTTAATTGAACAGCTAGCCGCTAATTTCAGCATGATTATTAAACTGTAATTTGTATCATAAACTCACTGGATTCTGATTTTATTTCAACAATGTCATCATTGTTAATATTTTAGGACAGTCTTGTCAAATTTCTCCTGTAGTTTTACAATCTGATACAAATTGAAGTTTAGCAACTGTGCTGAAATTTACTACTAATAAACTTACGTAGTGTCTGGATCAGCCTCATTAGTTTGTTAGAAATTGAATTCCACTAGTTAAAATCTTTATGAATATTTGAAATCTTTTTTTTTTAATCGTTCTTATTAATTACGGAATTTATTTGCAAAATCAATTAATTTTAGTCAAGTCAAATTTGTATGGTTAGTAATTTAGTGTACATTTGTGAATTCTAAAAAAATTTGATTGGATTTAGTTCAAGCATGGAATTAATATAATAGAATTCCAAATGAATTTTCATTTATATCAAACATGGAATGTATGTATTTACAAATGAATTCATTTATGTGAAATGACTCTTAGTGACTATTGGTGAAACTAAGCTATATTATAATTATTCGTTTCACATTAGTTGATGTAGAAGGTGTGCTTAGATTGCTGGCACTGCAATACATCTTTGTTATGAGGAGTAGCAAAAAGGATTCAATGCACGTGACTTGAGTAGTTTTGAAAATTTTCAGCCGTAGGATTAACGTCTTTCACTTTATCATATGGTTTGAAAATTCATATGCGTAGCAAGCTCTCAGCACAAATAAATCCTTGCTTATATTTGAGTAGTTTTGATTTGATAATAGTGGGCTCATCTTTGTTAGAGGGTGAAACAAAAGTGGACAACAGAATAGAGCCTAACTAACTACTGCATTGGTGATGGTGGAAGTGTGGTGGTCCTTGTTGGGGGCTGCTGTCCCAGCAGTTATTGCGGGCCAAGCAATTATAGTCATGAAAAAGAAACGCGCAGAAGAGCAGAGAATGAAAAGCATCAGAGGAAGGGAGAAGAGTTCTGATGATGTTTTCGTGTGTGAGAGAGTATGTACATCAAAGAGAATGTTGAAAAAAGTGGGGGCTTTCTCAAAGGACCCGATTCCTGATAACTGTCTTACTGTCTGTGGTGTATCTGAGCTTGATGCATGCTCTGATGCTTGTGCTCGGACTGTCTGTGTAAACCAGCATCAAGTGCCTGACTGGAATGATATCTGCCTTCGAAGATGCCAGAGTGAATGCCTTAAACTCTCTGCTTCCCATTAACCTTAGTATAGTTCTTATCCATATTTTCTGAAATGAACAATTATGCAAATTATTGCAGTGTTTGATTCTTAGTTTCAGTAGAATGCTTTTTATTTTTTGCCATCCTCAGGTATTTCCATTCACTTTTGCTTTCAGATATTATCCATGTTCTTGAGTTGAGTTGCACCTTGATGCACTTATTATGTTTTATTTCTTGAAAAGAAACAAAAAAAAAAAAAAAAGATTATGTTTTACCTTTCTCTTGAAAAGAAACAAAAAAAAAAAAAAAGCTTATTTCTTGAAAAAAAAAAAAAAAAAAAAAAAAAGGCAAATGAAATGGACTATATGGTGTTTTGATTGTGATGAGGTTAATTCTTTTAAGTGCAGTTTAATTCAGAAATTGTTGAAGCTCGTAGCTATGAATTCAAATGTTTCACTATATTGCTTAAATTAGTATCTTGGATGACCTGCATAAAATGTCAGTTCTTTGAATTCTAATTTGTTTGTATCTTTTTAATTTGCTAGCCATTTTTATGATCTTCCCTAGATTTGTTAGTTCTTCCATGTTTCCAATTTCGATCACTAATGTCTGAGTTAGTGATAGAATTTTCTAGTAGCTAAGTAAATTAGTTTCTAGTCAATTACATGGATGATCTTCCTCCACTTAATTTTGTTTAGGGTCAAATTTGCTATTAGCAATTGCAATACAATCCTTTACCACTTTAATTCTTGCATTTCTATTTTTTAGAAAAGTAAAATTTTCAATCTTCTGTATACCCATTACTTCTCTCTGACTAGAATCTATTCATTTGTTCACTATTTATTGGTCTATTTCAGAAATGGAAAATCATCTCGGTTATGACTGCTGCATCTTATCCTCAATAAGTGCTGCCATCACCTTTTTTTTGTATGTCTGATTGCCTCTTGTCTCCATTGTTTGGACCAAACATTACAATTCTGGTTTTATTTCTTTTCTTGTATATCTGATTGTCTTTTGCGTTTCAATGAACAATCATTTAACTATGGACCTCCTTTGTTGATGGATACCCTAATAGATTGATATCATATACTTTGATAATATTTTGAGCTTGAAGCGAATGTGTGGCTATCTTTCTTTCTGTAAATAAGAAACACTTGCACAATCAAACGTATATCGATGCATTATTTGTGTAGATTTTTTTGCAATTCCTGTAACTTAAGACGTGCAGTGTTCTTCTGCAACCTTTTCTTTTTCTTTTGTTTTTTTGTTTTTTTTTTTTTTTTTGCCTGATGTTTAAGTTTACTCATGGTCTATATGTGTGAATTTTTTGCCTCTCAATCTCTGTCCTTCTATACTATTGTGCATATGTATCTTTCTCCATGAACGTGCCTGTGTACTTGCTCTTTGAAACAGAGACAATGTCCTGTTTTTTTAAGACAGCCTGAAAATCCAAATGTTGGGTAACTCAAGTCTTGAGTAATTTGACTCACTTGACCCACTTGCGCCTCCTATTCTTTACTTTCAAATCTTGGTTGCATTTGACGGTTTATATGTTCTATCGGTTTATATGTTCTATCATCGTATATGAAAAATGAAAATGATTTATCTAAACTGTAACTATATGCTTGTTCATCTATCAAATAAATGAAAAATAAATTTTTGTTGAAGTGAAAGTGTTTTTAATTATTCATTGGAAAAAGAAAAAGATAAGTGACCAAATATAATCCATAAAGAATAGTTTAATTTGCACCTTTTTGCTTTGTAATGAAATTTTAAGAAATATAGTACTTATTCTTTAACTGGTTGTTATTCTTTAACTGGTTGACGTGCAATTTTATTTGTTATATACTCATTTAATTTTGTTATTTATATAATATTATTTTAATTTGTTATATACTGCATTAATTTTGTTAATTTATATAATATTAAAGTATAATGTTATTTATATAATATTAAAGTATAAATTTTTATTTAGATTAAAATAAATATAATGATTAATTAATATTGCACTTATATATAATGAAATGTTGTAACATGTCTTGTGTTATAATATCTAATTGAAAAGAAAATGAAGTTTCTGTTTCTCCATTTAATAAAAAAAAATATAATTTTATTGTTAATTAATTATATAAATCACTACAAATTTACATTTACTATGCTGCAAAATATTCTATAATTTGGTGATGATATAACATTAATCCAATAAATCAAGACTTGTTCTGCACGGCCACAATCTAAGATATGACTTTGATCTCTACATTAATTATTTTCGTCAGATGAAATTAACTTGGAATTTTATCAACATGTAATATTTTGGATTATGTCCTTGCATAGAATTCAAAAATAAATTGTTTAAAGCTCTCAAGGGAATCCATACGTAAAGTTGTAAACAATAATATTGGTAATGAAATACTATAATTTTATACTTCTATTGCTTTTGTTAAATTTAAAAATTTTAAAATATAATAATACGTAAATGATTTAAATAAGTGTACACCATCTTCTCTAAAAAAAAAATCCAAGAGACATAATATATTTTAAAAAATTTTTATTTTAATTTCATTGTAATTAACTAATATAGTCTAATAATAAAGTGTTTAATCATATTTTAAAGAATTCAGAACATAATAAATTAATAAAATTTAAGTTCTATTTTCAATAGTTGAATTAAGATTTTTAATTTACCTCCTAAAAAGTAATACAACATGAGAACATATGCTTAAAAACATAAAAAACTATTAATTATAATAATCATTGGATAATAATATTACAAGATCAAATAGAGAATATATATACATACACATATTTTCTCGAATTAAAAAGCATAAAAAAAATCTAATTATAAGGTTTTTTTTTAAAGTATAAATGGAATCCATTTTTTCGATTAAAAGACAATTAAAATACAACTAAAAAGGATCTTCAAAAGGATAAATAATGTATATAATAAATACGTAAAGTATGTAATATGTATTTAGCTCTAACATGTATGTAATAATGTATTTAGCTCTAACATTTAAATTTAAAAATTCCTAAATTGAATAAATTAAAATCATATATAAATAACTAAAGAATTTTTAATTTGTCATATATAGCTGTATTTATAATATTAAAATAATTAAAATAAAATATATTTAATTAATATATAAGTTAAATGTTAATTATCTATTTAAGCATGATATTTAAAAATAAAATTTAATTGTAAATGTAGTTAACACTAATTTCTAATTAAGTATAAATATTTGAAAAATAAATTTTAGTTTAGTTATCAATATATAGTTAATGTTAATTATCTATTAAGCATGATATTTAAAATAAAATTTAATTGGTATGTAGTTAACACTAATTATCTATTAAGTATAATATTTGAAAATAAAATTTAGTTAGTTATCAATAAGATTATTTTAGAACATTTTAAATTTATATTATCGAGAATTCTATTATTCTCTCCTGGTTTCCACTTTTATATAATTTATATATAATGTGTGTATTAGTATATTTTGCATGAACAACATTCGACATTTATATTTTCATAAAATAATTATATAATTTACTTAACTAATATGAAATTATAGTTTAATTGCTTGCAAATTTATATCGGTTAATTCAATCATTCAATAGGTTTAGTTTTGATGCAAATATTTATATTCGTGAGAATTCAAAATCAAAATTTTTCATTTTTTAATTAATGAAAATACCAACCATATCACATTTTATGAATTATATCACTTTTAGAAATTATACCATTTTTCAAAAGTTAGAAGCAATAGAATAATTTTTTGTACTGTCACCTTTTTTTTTTTTTCCCTTTCAAAAATATGTCCGCTTAAAGATGCTTTAAGACTTTGATTTTTCAAAAACCACTTTCTTTTTTCTTTTATTATTACACAAATTGAACCTACCTCCACCTTTACCGCCATTCACCGCCACCCTCGTCCAGTCCGCTGTCCGCGCAACCACCAGCCTGCCTGCCAATGAGCCAATTCCAACATCATCATTAGTTGGCATCATCACATAATAAATTATGGTCCTGGGAAATTCCCATAATCCAAATTCAAGAGTTTTGGCGGGTGGACTTATAATATATTTTTTAACTTATCAATCAGTTTAATTTTAAAAATAATTATTTAAGTGTTTGTTAAAACTATTTATAAGTTATTTCAAATAATTTAATTGCTTACACACATATATATATATATGATGTAACATGATTTATCAAAATTACCAAAAAGAATGTGTGAATTAAATAGAAAGTTTAAGAGTTAAAAAAAAAAATATATAGAGTTGGTATATTAAGTATATTAAAAATTTATTAAAATAATATACGACCTGATAATGGATCCAGATTCGAATTCCCTCTCTAATACTAAAAAAAAGTTAATAGAATAATGTAATTTTTTACTTGGTTAAATAATAATTTCAAAATAAGTAAAGAATCATAAATTAGGATATTTTATTTATTACTTTTGACTAATTTTAATTTTTTTTAGTCATTAAAAATATCCTTCCACTTCTCATTTAACAATGGAGACTAATTCTTTTTCGAATTTGATAGCGATTACTTTTAAAAACCTGCATTACTTATTTCAAGCAGTTTTTTTTTTTTTTTTTAACTTATAGATTAAATCAAACATTATTGTAATTGTAATTTTTATTTGAAAACTAATTTATAAGCTAAACCAACCACCTTGTAAGAGGTCTCTAAAATATTTTCAAAATAAATAAATAAATAAAACAAATTAATATCATAAAAGTTTAATGGGAAAAAAATTGAATGGAGAGGAGTGGTTCAAGTAGTAAACCACATTTGAATTCAATGAACAATTTCTGTAAGATCAACGATTTGATTTATAGAAAAAACACTAATGAAAAGTGGGTAGCCATAAATCTCGAAACATGATTAGTCTTATACTTAAAAGTACATAGATATTTCATTAAAAAAAAAAAAAAGAGTGTAGATATTCATGGTAAAAAAAGTTTTATAGGAAAAAAATTTAATACAGAGGAGTGATTCAAATAGTAAGATACACTTGATTTCAATGAATAATTTCTACAAGGTCAAGGGTTGATATGTAGAAAAAACACTTACAAGAAAGGGGAGAGCTATAAATCTTGAAACAATATTAGTCTCATAACTAAAAAGTATGAGATACTCATGTTAAAACAAAAAACAAAAAGTTTTATAGGAAAACATTTCAATGTAAAGAAGTAGTAAGGTACACTTGAGTTCAACGGACAATTTCTGCAAGATCAAGAGTCTGGTTT